ATATCAGTGTCAATATCAATATCAGTATCAATATCAGTATCAGTATCAATATCAGTATCAATATCAGTGTCAATATCAGTATCAATATCAGTATCAGTATCAATATCAGTATCAATATCAGTATCAATATCAGTATCAATATCAATATCAGTATATGTATCAATATCAATATCAATATCAGTGTCAATATCGATATCAGTGTCAATATCAGTATCAATATCAGTATCAATATCAGTATCAATATCATTACCAGATCAATATCAGTATCAATATCAGTATCAATATCATTACCAGATCAATATCAATATCAATATCAATATCAGATCATTATCAGTGTCAATATCAATATCAGTATCAATATCAATATTAATATCAGTATCAGTATCAGTATCAGTATCAATATCAGTATCAATCTTAGTATCAATCTTAGTATCAATATCAGTGTCAATATCAGTATCAATATCAGTATCAATATCAATATCAATATCATTATCAGATCAATATCAATATCAGTATCAGTGTCAATATCAATATCAATATCAGTATCAGTATCAATATCAATATCAGTATCAATATCAGTATCAATATCAGTATCAATCTTAGTATCAGTATCAATATCAATATCAGTATCAATATCAGTATCAATATCAATATCAGTATCAATATCAATCTTAGTATCAATCTTAGTATCAGTATCAATATCAATATCAGTATCAATATCAGTATCAATATCAATATCAGTATCAATATCAGTATCAATATCAGTATCAGTATCAGTATCAATATCAATATCAGTATCAAGATCAATATCAGTATTAGTATCAAGATCAATATCAGTATTAGTATCAATATCAGTATCAGTATCAGTATCAGTGTCAATATCAGTATCAATATCAATATCAGTATCAATATCAGTATCAATATCAGTATCAATATCAGTATCAGTATCAATATCAGTATCAATATCAATATCAGTATCAATATCAATATCAGTATCAATATCAGTATCAATATCAGTATCAATGTCAGTGTCAGTATCATTATCAATATCAATATCAATATCAGTATCAATATCAATATCAATATCAGTATCAATATCAATATCAGTA